CTCTTGATGATAATTACTTAATGGCAATTTCTAATACCAGCAAATTCCACCATGTGCTAAAATTGCAAAAATTTAGTACCCGTTAAGAAAAGTTACTTTAAAGTACATTTTTTGGAGTTACACTAAGTGATGTGTATTTGCATTTAGGTTAAAACCAGTAAATAAAGTTTTCTTTAAATTTTGTCTAAATGATGAATTATTCTATCATTTACTCTTATTAACAGGTGATACAGCATCGTGATATCATTCAAACTGAGTGCAACAGAGCCACAGCTGCTAAGAACAAACTGGAGAGTCTTTGCAGGGAACTACAGAAACGAAACAAAGAAGTAATGGTAAGTGAGATATACATGTACATGTACATGTATTAGTACATGCATACATGTACATGTAGTGAATGGTAAAAGGTAATGGTGAGTGAGCTTGTATTATTTAGTGGGTGAAATCTAATTTAGATAATCAGTAAATTACTATGTGTGTTTGTAGTGGACTGTAGTGCATTGAGATATATTGCAATGTAGTAGTATTATAATATGATGCATTTTTATGAACTTTGGGTGTTTTAATTTGTACATGTCAGGGCTTCATTTGGGGGGGGGGCGGATGGGGGCGCTCGCCCTCCCTTGAGAGACACTTGCCCCCCTTGATTGACTTATTAACATGAAAAATTTCATCACCACAGCAGTAAATTGTATGAGTGTTGTGAGCACGCATTGTGCATACACAATAGAAATATTAGTGACCCCCCCTTTTTAAAATATTTTTAACCCTGCCCCCCCCCTTGTATAAAATCCTAGATGAAGACCTCCATGTAATCGTTCATGTACATCTATTGGTTTTGTCTTTATATTCTCCCTCCCTCTCTCCCTCAGGAGGAGAGCAGGGTTCAAGCAAGAGAGGAGGAAGAGAAGAGACGTGAGATTGCAGAGAAATTCCAAACAACAATTGACGACATTACCGAAAGAATGCAAGAGCATCACGACAGGAACGTGTCACTGAAACAAGAAAATGCCGAGTAGGTCATGTGATTGTCATGTGATTCATTGACCACACCCACTACCCACTAGTTTAGTAGGCAAGTTAAAGAAACTGATTGAACAATATGAAGCAAGAGAAAAAGTAAATTTATGCATTCACATACAAGGATATAATTGTGGCGTCATTTTGATGTACTTTTTAAACTTTCTCTCCTCTCTCTCTCCCTCTCCCTCCC